CGGCAGTTTCAATTTGTTTAAAATTCTATTAATGTCATTCAGGTGTGAATGCTCGTTGGGTGAAAGATAATAATATCATCGATATAAACATGGCAGGTCTTACCGATTTCGTCGCGCAGAATATCATCATGGCTCGTTGAAAAATGCTTGGAGCATTTTTCAAACCAAATGGCAAGCGGCAAAATTCGTACTTGCCATTATTTACACTGAATGCTGTTTTTGGTCTATCTTTCTCGCGCAAGTTAATTTGATGGAATCCTGACTTCAAATCTAGCGTGGAGAAGAACTTTGATTTTCCTAAATTGGACAGGATGACAGAAGTGTCCGGTATGGGATACGATCAGAGATGGTGTTTTCGTTAATTTTTCGAAAGTCTATCACCATACGTAGTTTTTGTTTGCCATTTTCGTCAATACCCTTTTTTGTTACTATGTGGACGGGCGAATTATAGGGTGAACACGACTTGCGAATTATGCCGTCTCCTAGGAGTGATTTTATTTCTGAATTTATGAACTCTGCTGCCGAAATTGGGTATGGGTAACTTTTGCTAAAAATTGGGTTGTCTGTAGTGGTTCGAATTGTAGCCTCGACATTGGTATTGTAGGGTAGGGCGCGATTTGGGTGAGCAAACGCATTAGTGTTTTTATTAATTAATTGACGAAAGTCATTTTGAACATTGGCAGGCACGGAATCATCATTAATTGTAATCAAGTTGACTTGATTGCAACAAAGATGCTGAAGTTTTACCTTGCCATCCCGATAATATAAATACCCTGCATTAATATCAATTTTTGAGCCAATTTCTTTTAGGAAGTCATAACCAATTATGCCGTCGAACGTTTTTAGGTTATCAAGTAAATAAAAAGTCGAGGTTGGTTGAGAACATTAACCAAACATTTTTTGTCTATAAAATTTTGCCCATTTATTGATTTTAGCGTAAATGGGGTTTTCATTTCTTTAACTCCGTCGAGAAATTGAAAATTTTTAATAAATTTTTGAAGTACCTGTATCTATTAATATTTTGAGCTCCTGACCATTTCGCAGTAGTTTGGTGATGAAAGGTAGGAGCGACTTCAGTTTAAAAAATTTATTTCGGAATTATTTTTAGAGTCGCATGTATGGTTAGGCTCTTCGAAGTAACTTTTAAAATTGGAGCTATCATAATCGTCGTAGTGTTCTTCGTTTTCAGATTCATCAGAAACTATGCCAATATTGTCTGGATATAATTAACTCGCTGTGTCTTTCCACCGGGTCTCTGGAAAGAACCGGATGGCTCACGAGAACGTTTAAATACAACTGCTTGATTGGGGGGTTTAGAAACGGTTGCACTATTTTGACTGGCATTGTGCTTTCGATAGATGGATGTGCCTTGGTCAATATCCATTAGACTCGGTTTATTGTTATGATTTGATAAACGATTTGGTTCATTTTGTGGATTAAAATTATATTGTGGCATTGTTGCTCTTACTTTGTTTGGTTTGACTGAACTACCCATTGCAAAGGTTTGGGCGAAATCATAGCGCTTGTGACTCATCTCAAGCTCCTGTGCTACGGCCAAGGCAGTGGGCAGATCCTTTGGTGACGAGGAAAATAAGATGTCACATAGCGGACGGCGAAGACCTGAAATGAATACTCGTAGAGCGTTTGCTCTTGCACGATCATTTAGAGCCTTTATAACTTCGTCGTTGCCACTATTCGTCATTATTTGCTTATTTATGATAAGCGTCAAATGTTTGTCCACCGAGTCATAGTAGCTGCAATTGACAAATGGCCTTGCCTTAGAATACTTAGTTCAGTTTCCAGAACATGAACTGGTCTTTTATCTGCATAGGTTTGGTCTAACCTAGCGACTATTGCCTTAAAATTGAGCACAGTATTGAAAGACGACAGTGTTGAATTCGCCGCACCCGTGATTTTATTTCGGAAAATACCCATTGCCACATAATATTTTTCGGAACCTTCAGGGTAGTAATTGATGGCAAAGGCGGCAGCGGAGCGCCAAGCTGGTAACACGAGGCATCGCCACTAAATTCGGGTAGAGACTTGACTAAGTCTAAGCTAGCATTTCCTGACTCTATTGAAGGGTTAATTGCGACAGGTTGGTAGGGTTCAACACATGGTGGTTTAAGGCGATTTAAGGCTACAGTAAGTTCGTCAATTTGGGCCGTGAATTCTGCCCTAGCACGCTCGGTTGAGGCTCTTACAATTTCTAAAACTTGCTCTCTTGTGATTTCCATTCTGCAGAAACTACAGAAACCACTATTCAATGATTTTCTGATGGCTGTAGGCACTTTAACAACTATATGCAAATTGAACAATCTATGGTTCGTTTTTCGCACTATGTAAAATTGTAAAAGGTAAAAGACTGGTGTACTATTTTGTTTTCGAAAATTCTTATACCCTAACTGTTTCAAACGAGGTTATGTTATGTAATCTGACAAATTATGTTACTACGTTTCAAAATAATTCACGGAAATCTATGTTTCTTTTCGCCTGATACAGCAATTATTTGATTTGAAAAGCTCTGCAGGTTTTTTTTTTAAATTGGAATGAAAAATTCTATGCGAAAATTTCCAACAAGAAAATATTTAGCCAATCTTACTTTAGAACACGTGTATGTTACGCAAGTTGGGAACTAAGTTTCAATAGCTTTACACAAATGCAGTGAAATCTTTTTGTCACCTGATATAGCGATTTTTAATTTTCTAAATTTGCGGTTTTTAAAGATGAAAAAACAAATTGATGAACTAATAACTTTTGTTGTTTTTTACGCAAATATATTGAACCTTTTTCTTAGTTTTGAACACGTGTATGTTACGCAAGTTGGGAACCAAGTTTCAATAACTTTACACAAATGCAGTGAAATATTTTTGTCGCCTGATATAGCGATTTTTAATTTTCTAAATTTGCGGTTTTTAAAGATGGAAAAACAAATTGATAAACTAATAACTTTTGCTGTTTTTTACGCAAATATATTGAACCTTTTTTAGTTTTGACACGTGTATGTTATGCAATTGGGAAGAAATTTCACCTCAATACGACACGAGAATTGACTATTAACACTTAAGTCTCCCGATTTTTTAAATCAAAATTTATATTTTATTTCTCACATGAAATGATTATCAGTTTTAATTATTACTTACATATGTAATAAATTTAGAGTTAATATAAGGGCTTCTTATATGGAATTCCACAATATCCCAATTGTCCAAGTAAATGTTGGCGAAAAATTGATGATTCACTGTACAAATATCTCATGCTGTTGGATTGTGATCCTGGTTCTTTTGTGACCTGTCGCTTTGTTCGTCCTTCCTTATAGGAATTATTCTTGTAGAATTGGTCAGTGCGGTTGACCATTCGAGACAAGTTGCGAAATCACTCCTCGTCATTTGAATTGCACACCCCAATTCTTAGTATTTACAGTTTTCCGTTTGTTTATTTAATATAAATTTTTTGTAAAAATATCGTCACTACATAGAATAAAGGCGCGCTGGTGTTTTGACGGTGAAAAAAAGCGTTAAAAAAATTTTTGCGAAAAAAGATGCTTATAAAAAACTTTGGCGAAGTATGTTAAGAGTATTTGACGCTGAAATTTTTTTATGCGTATTTTTTCGTCGTCAAATTTTGAGCTCGCGCCTTTATTCGTGTCTAGTGACGATATAGCATATTCTACGGGTAAATGCAATTTAAAAACTTTTTACAAACTAAAACTTAATAGAAAGTTTATTTTCCATTTCTTGGGCAGCATTTTATATGATTTTTTCGTTTTTCTCGAGAGCTGGAAACAGTTCTTAAAAAAGGCCAACATAGGAGTGTGCCATCCTAATGACCTGCAGTGAATAAGTTAATAATATTTTTAGAAAAATTTCTGATATGCAGTTTTGTAGCCCATTCAATTATAGTGTAATTAAGTGCAAGTTTGAAGTGACTCTAAAACAGCCCCGATTTTTCAAATTCATTTATTTTTTATTGACAGTGCTGCGCAGCATATAAAAGTTTTGTCGAGCATACTTTGTATGAGAGAAAATGCGCAGCACTATCACCAAAAAAATTGTCAAAAATCACCGCTATTTTACAGACACTTGAAACTTGCACTTTATTGTACCCCTTTGTTGACATTTTTTTAACTCTGTATAAAGTTTTAAAATCGGATGTAATGAATATTAAATAAACAAAATTAAAAGTGTAAATACTAAAGATTAAAAAGTTGAGCTATTCAAATGACGAGGAGTGTATGTGGCGTACGTTTGGGAGAGTGAGCCTTTTTACTCCAGAATGCGTGTGCAGTGGCTCTCATTGCTATACGTGTATTAGTAAGATTTGTTGCCCCCTTCTCGTTTGCCCATGATTTTCCCCTGATCAAGCCCGCGAAATGGGCTCGCTTGCCCGTACGGGCAAAAAAGCCCATACGGGCAAAAGTGCCCATGTCTGCACTAAACAATTAAAGTGGAAAATATGTTAAACTTATTCTGCTGATTGGCAGTGTTTATTTATAATTGACTTCAAATTTAGTGCAATACTTAAAGTACCCGCACTCCTTCGTTTATAAATGTCCAGATTATACAACATAAAAACTATCGCAAGCGCCAATCCTTTGAGAGTTTCCTTTCGGCATGTTCAGAAAAATGTCGTAAGCGCCATTTTACCTTTAGAAAATAGAGAATGCAAAAAATAAATAGTCCATTAGAAATAATAATTCAATAATATTGTTGTCCATTTAAATCCAAATAAATTTTTACACTGTTTAAGAGAGAATTAAAAAAAACCTCTCCTCTAAAATCAACCTTTTGTCGCTTACGATAAATCGCAATTATGGGTCGAAATATCCATTTTGACTGGGGTATATGCACATACACACTTATAATTATGTCGTACACGTTTCATCAGAAATTATTGATTTTTTCGATAAACGTTAAAATTAACGTTACAGTTCATATTTGATATATATGTAGATATATTTATAGTTATTTGCTGTTATTTACCGTTAGGGTTTTACTGACCTCAATCTGTATTCCTGCATGCTGGCTTGATAAGACGGTGGTGGGGGCCTATGCTGGAATTCAGGATAGAGTAAACCGTGCGCGTTACCTCCACTACGTCCACACGGTCGTCGGGCACAACGGCCCAAATCAACAGCAGATCCCAAACCCAGACACGGGGGCCCACCAGGTGCAGTCATTCGCCATGCTGCTCCACTTACAGTCACTAGTACCACCCCAACACCTAAAAATTAAAAATTATTGAATAAATAAACAACGTTTGGCAAAAATATTATAAATATTTTTTTATATGTCGGTTAGGGTGCTCTAAAAAAACGTTTCAAAGGTTAAGCTCTCATCCCCTACGATTTTTATAAATGGAAAAAATGCCCGCTTTAAGATTCCATGTATTTCATGCGAGCAAAAAACACTTTCTCATAGAAATGGTAAGAATTTTTGAAAATTAGTATTTTTCGATCGAAAAACTCTCTTTCTCTTGAATAGACTTCCAGAAATAAAACCCAATGGTTTATTTTACCATTTTTTGATACTAACTCATTTTATGGATCCCCAATTGGATATTTTGAGGCTTTTGGGGGACATATAAAAATAGTTAATATTAAAAAGAAGCTAAATAAATAATTTAGTATTCTTAATAGAAGTCTTCTAAAGAGAAACAGATTTCCCAATTCTATACCATTTCTACTAAAAGGTATTTTCTCCCATATAACATACATGGAAACCTTCATGTGTTTTGAGGCAGTCCTAAATAGAATTTTTTATGAGCAAAAACATACGGGTATTTTTATACCTTTCATGAGCATGAAATGATATTATAACTTTGGTCCAATGTTTGTAAGTACCAGAAAAAGAAGAGATAGACCCATTAAAATGTATACTTAAATGATCAGAACATCGAGCTGAGTCGATTTAACCATGTCCGTCTGTCTGTCTGTCCGTCTGTTCGTATGCAATCTAGTCTCTCAGTTTTCGAGATATCCGGATGAAATTTGGTAGGTGGGTGTATTTTGATAATGTATCAATTATTTGTCGGAACCGGAAGAAGCGGACCACTATAGTATATAGCTCCCATACAACTGATTGTTCAGATATGTGATTTTTCGTTATAACTTCTCCATTTATGCAGCTAGAAACATGAAATTTTACAATACTTCCACCCATTATCAACAGAAATTTTAGAGTGAAAATTACAAAGATCGGGTCACTATAACCTATAGCTCCCATACAACTGATTGTTCAGATATACGATTTTTCGTTATAACTCCTCCATTTAAGTAGTTAGGAACATGCAAATTTGCACTGTTGTCACTCATTATCAAGAGAATACTTTCAGTGAAAATGGCGAAGATCGGGTCGCTATAACATATAGCCTCCATACAACTGATTGTTCAGATATACGATTTTTCGTTATAACTCCTCCATTTAAGTAGTTAGGAACATGCAAATTTGCACTGTTGTCACTCATTATCAAGAGAATACTTTCAGTGAAAATGGCGAAGATCGGGTCGCTATAACATATAGCCTCCATACAACTGATTATTCAGATATGAGATTTTTTGCCATAACCTATCCATTTAGGCAGCTAGGGACATAAAAATTCGCACCGTGTTCACCCATTATTAACAGAATAATTAGAGTTAAAATTACAAAGATCGGGTCACTATAACATATATCTCCCATACAACTGATTATTCAGATATGAGATTTTTTGCCATAACCTATCCATTTAGGCAGCTAGGGACATAAAAATTCGCACCGTGTTCACCCATTATTAACAGAATAATTAGAGTTAAAATTACAAAGATCGGGTCACTATAACATATATCTCCCATACAACTGATTATCAGATTTACTGTTTTTACTGTAAAACTCCTTTATTTGGACAGCTAAAGCCGACAAATTTCGTAAACTATTTTATAAATAATTAGCTGAGCCGGCGAACTTCGTCCCGCCCAAAATTAATTTTTTTATTGAAACATTTGGTCCAACGTTTTCGCCAGCAATTTACGTTCACGTTCAAAGCGTTATACCTGGAAGAAGTCCTTGCGGCGCGATAGTGAATCGTCCTTGAATCTGTATAGTATAGTTGGTGGCAATTTCTAAACTGGTGAGTATCATTGGTCCACATTCTGTTTAGTCACCGTAAAGCAAGGACCGCAATGGTTCTGATGGTTGATTTAACGGGAGTAAAGTGACTTTGATCCCTGGTGCCTCCGAATCGGCTCCAGCGCCACTAAAAATTATCATTAAAATCGTTTAGGGGGTGTTAAGCCACCAGAATAAGTCTTTTACAACTGTCTCTTCGGGGTTTTTTCCCATACAAAAAACTATCACGCATACTGATACTGAAATTGGGTGAACTACAAAACTGCATACTAAATTTGGTGCCATTTGATGCATAATGAACTATACAAAAATTACAAAAAAATGTATTATGAAAAAAAACCACTGTATTCTGGGTGTATATATACAGATAGGTAAAAGTTTCAATATGTTCGGAAAGCGCCACGTCCCTTTTCCAGCAGCACCAAAATCTCTATACCAATTTCCAGGACACTACCGCAAATACTTCCAGAGACATCGGCATAGCCAGAATGAAATTTAGGGGGGGGCTCGACCCTATTAAGCTGGCATCAGGGTACTATTTTATATATATATAAGGAAAATTTGAAAGCTTACTTAATTTCTAGTTCTAAGATATAACTCTAGTCGAACACACCAAGTAGATGGTGTAGTGTGTTCGGGGCATTATGTACATAGTATAACAGTTAAGATGACACTTGTGAAGAGAAACGATTAGAAACAAAGAAACGAAGTAAATACAAAAAGTTAAGCGGCAAATCATTGTGCTGAGGAAAATTAATAAATTACAAATTATAAGCTTTAAATGTCGTTTCTCTTTATAGGTAAATAATTTAAGTAAACTATTGTGATAAGAATCAATATTAAATAATATAAACACTCTTTATAGAGAAACCCAGTTGAGTTTATACATTTGTTGCTGTGTTAGGCGGATCGAGTTAAACAAACATTACAAAACGACATTTTTGCTAACATTTGAAGAATGGAGAAGCTTAAATTCGAATTTTTGGTAAAATCTGCTGAGGACGGAAAAACGAATATAATGGCGATAACCACAATCACCACAAGTGATGATAGAGTTTTTAAAATACCAGCAGAAATGCAGCCAGCAAGTTTACATGAACAATTAATAAATACACCAACTTATACAAAAATAAAAAACACATTAAAAAGGAGACACCAAACAAGAAAAGTATGGATAAATGTAACGGAAGATTTAGCCGGAATTTATATGGATGATGATGGAAATATGCAGTTCAAAGATTACTTTCTTGAAGAGATACCGCCAACAAATCCCACTGCAGGTATTTCAGAGGAGTCACTGTCGAAAGTTTTAGAGAAGCTGAGTGCAACAAAAAAAAATTGTGAATACCCTAATTTGAAGAAAATTGCTGAAAAATTTGTGCTAGAAAAATTCTCAGCCAAAAACTCAAATGCTAACCAATGGATGACCATATTTGAAAGTGAGTGCGACCGCTTTGACATATGTAAAGATGAGGAGAAAATCGAAGTCTTGAGACTTTTCTTAGAAAAATCATGCTTGGATTGGTACAGCTCTATGCTTATTAAATTATCGTTAGCTTCTGAATGGGGAAAGTGGAAAGAAAACTTTTGTGGCACCTATGCAAATAAAGGATGGGCTGCGAGCAGATATGCAATCTCATTCAGATATAAAACAGGTTCACTTTTGGATTATGCTTTGAAGAAAGAAAGACTTTTATTAGAAATAAGAAAATCAATTGACACAGGGACATTAATTGATCTTATTGCAGAAGGGTTACCACATTATATAGCCGACAGAATAGATAGAGAAAAAGTAGTTAATACAGAAGAACTTTACAGTGAGATTAGAAAACTTGAACATTTAGTATCCAGAAAAACTATAGATAGAAAGAACGTATCAGCTTCTTATTCGAAAGAAAAAGAAACATTTGAAAAGAAAAAACCATGCAAAATCTGCGAAAAAGAAAACAGAGGTACTCGTTATCATACAGAAGCTACATGCTGGTTTAAAAATCAAAAAAGTGAAAAAGAGATAAAACATGTTAATAATAATGAATTGGAATGGGAATTAAATGATATGGATCCAAAAAACTTGTAGTGCCACCATTGATCAAAGTTAAATTATTAATAAATGGAATTATTGAAGTATATGGAATTTACGATTCTGGTTCGAATGTATCTTTAATAAATTCGCGTTTATTACGCTTTAAACCAAAAAATAAAGATTTTTATACTGCAAATTTGAAAACGATCAATGGTACAAAAAAGGCTGAGGGAATGATAACTATTAAAACTAAAATTTTTGACATTGAAAAAGAAATACAGGTTTTTGTAGTAAACGAAAAAAATTTTAGCTACGATTTTCTGATTGGATTAGATTGCATAAAATCATTCAAATTAATACAAAATGAAAACCTAATTATATCCCAAAAATGTACACCTTGTAGAAGCAAACTCTCAGAACTACCTTCGAAGTCGAGAAATGAAAATTTAAATATAAGTAATTTCTATAGATTTCGCCGTCATGATAATCATAATGAATGCGAATTAAATTTCAACGAACATTTCGATACAGATAATTGCGACATTTCGGTTCAACATTTAGACGTTACAGAAAAGTCAGAAATAAGTAAACTAATAGAAAAATATAAAACTTTATTCGCTAAAGATAAATATGACATCGGTACGGTAAAAGATTACGAGGCACGTATAGATCTACTAATAGATAGGTATTGTAGTAAAAGACCATATAGATGCACGATTGAGGATAAGAAAGAAATAGAAACACAAATTTCAAAATTATTGGAGAAGAATCTGATAGAAGAGTCGTATAGTCCATTTGCGGCTCCGGTAACATTGGCTTTTAAAAGAGAAGAAAATAGGAGAACAAGATTATGCATAGACTTTCGCGATTTGAATAAAATTGTAGTTCCACAATCACAACCATTCCCATTAATTGAAGACTTGGTAGATAAAACACGAAACTGTAAATTTTTCTCAACGCTTGATATAAACTCAGCGTTTTGGTCAATTCCATTAAGAATCGAGGACAGACATAAAACAGCTTTCGTAACACAAGAAGGACATTTTCAATGGACGTGTTTGCCCTTTGGCTTGAAAACATCGCCAGCAATTTTC